ACTCCTGCTCTTCCTCTCTCCTGAGTGCCCCTTCTTGCTTTCTCCTGTGCCAGCTTCCTGGAGCAGTAGCCTCAGCTCTGCAAGAGCCCAGAGCCCGGGTGGCCCAGCCTGGAGGCTCCAGTGGCGTCCGCTGGAGGGGCCCTGGGGTCACTGCATTTCCTGCCAGGGGTGACTTAGCAGCGAGAGATTCAACTTCCTCACTTCTGCAATTACCAGGCGCCGCTGAGGCCACACTGTGCCTAGGACCTGCACTGAGGTGCTCCGGCTGGGCAGCTGCGGCCTCTGGCCCCACCACAGGTAAGGGAGGGGACGGGGGCCCTGGCTTGATGATGGGGGAGGCCTGGGAGAATGTCCTCAGGAAGCCAGGGGCATGGCCCAGGCTGTGCCTATGGAGAAGGGGCGGTCCTGTTGTGTGGGAGCTTTTTCAGGCTCACATTCAGAGAGAATCGCTTGTGAGCAGACTTCTCCAAGGGCCCCAGCAACCTTCTCTGGTTCTCTGAGGCCAAGACAAGGCCAGGGTAGTTTCAGAGACCCATGTGGGAGGGCATGTAGATCCCAGGAGCCAGATGCCATGTGCTTTACCAGCTGTACTGCCTTGGCTATGATGCCCTTTCTGAGCAGTTTCCTAGAACTAGTGCTATCCCATCAGGAGCGGGAACAGACCCGGGCCAGGACTAGCAACTTGGCAGCTCACTAAATGCTAGGTTACCCTTGGGGATAGTGAAAATAACCCAATCAGTGATTAGTCCAGAAAACCCAGTCTGTAGCCAGTTTCTGCCAGAAGGTCCCAGGGGCTGGGGACCCTGCCAAGGCTGGACCTGTGCTGGCCGAAGGTGTGGGTATGGGGTTGGTAAACCAAGGTTGCTGCCCACGTTCTGTGGGCTCTGCCTAACACCCAAGCTGTGCTCGTAGCATTCCGGGTGGGTGTGAGTGGGAGCCAGGGGGCGCCACGTCAAGGGCCAGCTCTAGAGACCGATGGGCCAGCCGGAGTTAGGAGTTAGCTTCAGGTTCGGGTCTTGCAGGCAGACTGGGCCCTGGGCTGTCTCGGGGCCTCACTTGATCCCTTGCAGAATGGAGTTGAACATGCCTGTGGCTTGGGGAGAGGATGAGGTGAGAGGCAGGTGGGGATGTGTCCATCAGCTGTGGGTGCTGCTCACATGTGCCCTGAGGCACTGGTACTGTTGTTGGTGCTGCAAGTGTCCCAAGAGGGAGTGTCTGTTATTTTGTTCTTCCCCTCGGCACAGAGTTTGGGGTGGGGATGTGTGTGACATGGTGAGTAGGAAAGACATCTTTGGGGTGCCCTGGGCACCTGTATGTCTGATTGGGGAAGGGGAAAAGGATGGTGGAGGGCTGCGGCTCCGCCCTGGTACACCTGGGTTGGTTCTGCAGGTGGACCTGGAATAGCCCACCAGTTCTGGAATCAGGGATTGCAAGACCAGCTCAGGGCTTGGTAGGTCTTTGTGTGTCCTTGGCTGAGGAGAGAACAGTCTGACAGTATATGAGGGACAAGGACAAAGGAAGTAGCACCCAGCCCTCGGCTCTGCAGAAAGGGCCCCCAGGGCTTGGATTTTGGCTGAGCCCCCAGCTGCCAGGAGGGAGCCACCCAAGCACATGTGTAAAGCTCTTAAAAGCAAATCAAGAGCCACGTGCAATAGCCTAGTGGCAAAATACTCGTGTTGTATCTGCAGGGATCCCTTATGGGTGCCAGTTCTAAACCCGGCAGCCCCACCATCCAGCTCCCTGCTTGTGGCCTGGGAAAGCAGTGGAGGATGGCCCAAAACCTTGGAACCCTGTATGGGAGACCTGGAACAAGCTCCTGGGTTCAGATTAGTTCAGCTCTAGACGTTGTGGCCACTTGGGGAGTGAACAAGTGGAAGGAAGACCTTTTTTTAAAAAAAAATTTTTTTTTAAAGGTTTATTTAATTTTACTGGAAAGGAGAGGCAGAGAGGAGGAGGGACAGAGAGGAAAATCTTCTGTCCGTTGATTCACTCCCCAAGCGGCTGCAATGGCCAGAGCTGAGCCAATTTGAAGCCAGGAGCCAGGATCCCGTTCTGGATCTCCCACGTGGGTGCAGGGTTCCATCGCTTTGGGCCATCCTCAGCTGCTTTCCCAGGCTGCAAGCAGGGAGCTAGATGGGAAGCAGAACTGCCAAGGTTAGAAGCAGCACCCATATAGGATCCTGGTGTGTGTAATGTGAGGATTTTAGCTGCAAGGCAGCCACGCTGGGCCCGGATGGAAGATCTTTTAAAACTCTGTATCTCCTTCTCTCTGTTTATCTGCCTTTCCAAAATAAATAAATAAATAAATCTCTCTAAAAAAAAAAAAAAAAAAAAAAAAAAAAAGGATAGATCAAGCCCATTTCATTGTGCCAAATGCCTTATGGTTTACCCAGACTTTCATTACTCCTGATCACCTCACTTCCTCCTGACATCATTGCTGCAAGGAATGGGGAGGCACCCTGTTTTGCAGATAAGAACCCCAAGGTCCAGAACTGAAGGTGGGAAGGTGGCAGGCACAGCTCAGGCCAGAGCCCTGACCCCCGGTTCCGGTTGCTGGGTTTTTCTCCCAAGCCTGCTGTTTCTGAAGGAGAGGTGGCTGGCTTGTTCGTGAATGTTGTGTGAGACCAACAGGGATGGAAGCTCATGGCCCTGCACTGAGTGGCTTCACTTGGTTCTCACCCCTAACCAGTACATGTGGAAGGTTTCATGAAGGTCCCCCTGCAGCTAAAGGGAGGGAGGCTAGGCCAGGGTCACGCCAGGGCCAGCAGGATATCAGTGGGGTTCTGGAGGTGACAGGCAGGTGCACTGGTGAAGTCCTGAGAGGGTGCTTCCTCACCCTCCCTACATGCCAGGAAGCCAGGACAGGGGGTGGGGAGGACTCACATGCAGGTGCTTCCTGGATGCTAGGGAGTCAGGAGGAGAGTGCCAGGTCAGACTTGGGGTCTCCCAGGCCAGAGGAGCAGACACAGTCCAAGGAAAGTGGCTGCAATCAGAGAAGAGTTCTCCCTGCAAAGGGAAAGTGGAGGAACTCTGCTACTCAGGCGGTCCTACTTCTGGGCCCCACACTCTCTTCTGGCCTCTCTCCAGACCAAGAGCTCTACTCATCTACCAATGCACATGCCAGGCTCGGTGTGTGGTTCCAGGTGCAGGGATCCATAGAGAGTCCTGGGCCGAATTCCTGAAGGGGTGGGACACTTGTTTCCTTCCATCTACCCCCTCCAATCATTGTCAAACTTGGGAGACTGGGAGGAAGGCACTCCAGGAAGGGCCTCCTGAGAGGGCAGTGATGTGCAGTGGCAGGAAAAGACAAACAGGGATAATGCACCTGGTACATGCCATGCCTTTGAGAGGTTTGTGTTCAGCTTCAGGACTGTCCTTAGAGGGCAGCACTGGTATAATTCCCATTTTCTTTAAGATTTGCTTATTTGTTTGAAAGACAACATTACAGAGAGAAAGAGACAGAGACTGATTTTCTATCAGCTGATTCATGCCCCAGATGGCCACAATGTGCCAGGCTGAAGACAAGAGCCAGAAGTTTCTGGGTTTCCCACATGGGGTGCAAGGGCTCATCAAGCACTTGGGTCATCCTCCGCTGCTTTCCCAGGCCATAAGCAGGGAGCTGGATCAGAAGTGGAGCCCATATGGGATGCTGGAACAGCAGGAAGAGGCTTACTGTACTGCATCATAATGCTGGCTTCTATTTAGGGAGTATTGTTTGAGCATTTGCAATGCAGGAGACCCTGGCAACCTACCAGGGCCTGGTACCCAGCGAATTTCCAGCATAGGAGGGAGAAGTCGCCAGTAATGACAGTGTGACCTGCTGTGCCATGTCATGGGAACCCGGTGGCACCCTGACTGCCAGTAGTAGCTCAGACCTTCTCTGCTTCAGCCTCACAGCTGCCTTACAGGTGGGTGTGATTGTAATTATTATTAGCTTTCATTGGCTGATGTCATTTTGTCATCTGGGTCCAGCTGCTATGAAAAAAGTCCCTGACACGTTCCCAGGAGCTTTGTGTATCTGGAAGCCTAATGTAGGTTTCTTCCAGCTAGGTGAGCTGGACCTGAGCGGTCACTGTGACCATGTGATGGTGACACAGCCAGGAGAAGCATCTGAGCTGGTCTCATCGGCAGGTGATCCTGACTTCAGGGAGCTGCAGCTTGGTGGAGCAGTTGATGACCTAAGACCTGGGTTTTGTATGGTTTCAGACCCTGCCTTGGCCACAGCTATGCTGTGAAATTGAAAGCAGAAGCTTTTTGGTTTTTTAATTTTCATTTATTTGTTTTACTGTGAAGAATTATAGCAGGGCAAGACACAGAGATCTTCTGTTCATTGGGCTGCAGGGCTAGAGCTGAGCCAATCAGAAATCAGGAACCAGAAAATTCATCCGGGTCTCCCACGTGGGTGCAGGGGCCCAAGAACTTGGACCCCTCTGCTGCTTTCTGAGGCCATTAGCAGTGAGCTGAATCAACAATGGAGCAGCTGGGATTCAAACTGGCAGCCATATGGGATGCTGGCATCACAGGTGAAGGATTAGCCTGTTACGCTACTGCATCGGCCCTGTTTTCATTTTTTTTTTTTTTTAAATTTTGAAAAAAGACACTGAGAAAGAGAAGAGATACAGTTAGGTCATTCTTTAACTCTGTCTTTTATCTGCTGGTTTATTTCCCAAGTGTCCACAATAGTCAGGATTGGGCCAGGCTGAAGCCAGGAGACAAGGACCCCATCAGGGTCTCCCATGTGGGTGGTAGGGACTTAGGCACTTGAATTGTCATCTGCTACCTACCAGGGTGGGCCTTAGTAGGAAGGTGGCTGCAAGGCAGAGCCAGGACTCAAGTCAGGCTTGTGCTGTGGGCTTCCTGAGCAGTGGGCCACCACAGTGAACGCCTGGGAGGCAGGATTTGAGCTGATGTCTGGGCTTAGGCCTCCTTCTTCCCCGAAGACTCTATGTTCTTCATTTCCCTTGATGCTTACCAAAGCCCTGGGGAGAAGGCGTGTCACTGTCTATACACGTGCAAGGCCTGGACAGAGAAGCAGCGTGACTAACGGTCCAGGCCACTGCTAAGAGGCCAAGCTGACTCATCTGCTTTCCAGTTATAAGTGCACCATGAGTTGCCACATTTCTGATGTCCCTTCAGATGTCCCTCTTCTGTCTGCCTGGACGTTTGTGGCTTCCTTACCCCACCACTGAGGGCACCCACGTACTCGGCGGAGTTGCTCTGATTGGATCTTTATGATCCCTGCCACTGCCCAGCTTCTCCCTGAGCCAGCAGCAACCAGAAGCTGTGTCCAGGGCTGC